CTGACCCCACAGCGTCAGCAAGGCGGGAAGGCCTTTCGGTCACAATGCACAGGGCAAAGCGGACCCCGCAGCCCGCTGCTTCCCCTCTCCTAACGCAGGGCGCAGGGCACAGGGCACAGGGCACAGGGCACAGGGCACATTTCCAAAGCTACTGTGGCCGCTGAAGAAACAACCCCCTAGCCGGGGCCGCCGGAATTCTGGATGGACAACTCCACCCCACGCCCTGCCCCAAGTAGAAGAGCACACAGGTCCCCAAATCACTGTGACCACACACAGCAGCTCTTCCTTTTCTGTCCTTATTCCCCACTGACTTTCAGGTCACCTTAATCAAGTTACCTACAGGTACAGATCCCACCTCCAAGCAGTCACCGCACTTCTATGGGGGTGGGGGTGGGGGTTGCAGCTGTAGCTTAAGGAGCATTTTCACATTCAACAGCAAGTGTTTCCAAGTCATTCCAGAGGACAAGGCAGTGAGATGGGCCAGGGCCTCAGCGCCGACCCTGATGGCGACCCCGTGAAGGCCACTTGCTTTCCCTGAGCTTTGCTTTTCCATGGGCAGTGTCTCCGCTATCCTATTCATGCATTCAGGGAAGAGGAATGGAAGTTTCTTGTCAAGCCTCTTACAAAATCTGAGAATACGGGGGGGGGGGGGGGGGGCTGTCCCTGACCACCTGTGCCCCACCACTGATCCCAACCGCGCCCCACCACTGATCCCAACCGCACCCATGTCAGCCTCCTTGTCTGATGATGCGCTCACTGCTGCAGAGACTACAACTATCAATTAAAACACCACCGTCCTGGCCCAACTGGGCAATGTCCAGGAAGGCCAGCGTGAGCAAATCACCAAGCTGGGCAGTCCTCGTGAGGAGCACAGCCTGCCCCACAGTGCCTCTGAAGGCCGCACTGTGCAGTCCTGGTAAGCTCTGCTGACCACAACATAATTCACAGTGAAGAAACACACAGTTTAAAACATGAAAATAGTGGTGGCACATGCCTGTAATCCCAGCACTCAGGAGGCTGAGGCAGGAGGATCATTGTGAGTTCGAAACCAGCCTGGGCTACAAAGTGAGTTCAAGGGCAGCCTGAACTACATAGCAAGACCCTGTCTCAAAAAAAAAAAAAAAAAAAAAAAAAGGCTAAATAATAAATGAAATATGAAAATGTTCATAAGCTGCAGTTCAAGCGTCACTAGTTTATAGTAATAAAATTTCACTGACTTTAACAGGAATGTCCCAAACACGTACTGCAGAGGACCCCACTCACAGAAGGCACAGCCCCGGAACCAGCTCCCTGTGGGCCCAGCCTTGGGCGCAGAGACCTTGGGCCCTGCAAAGAACGGGTCCGCCTAGTGGAGAAGGGAGCAAACCAACAGTGAGGTGCATGGTGACCTGAAGTGTCTGTACCACTAGCTATCGTTTCTATACATGCTCAAGTCAAGTTAAAGTTTAAATATGAATTCCCAAGTTAAAGGGCAATGACACAATTTGGAAAACAAGGAGAAACTTCCCATACTCCCCAGCCTAGAGTACCAGGGCAGCAGGCCGCACCTAATCTGAACAATTATCTCACGCCTGCGTGCACTGCTGCCTCCTTCATGGTTTCCACCGCCTCAGAATGAGCGGTCATTATCATCCATTATCACCGCACACAGTCCTTCTTTCCACCCGGGTGGGTCAGATCTCCCATCAGCCACTTCGCTCAGCAGGGCTGCCCTCCAAACCAAGAGGAGGCACGCCCAGCGCCCAGCCTGGGCTCCACCGAGGCAGGGCAGAGCTCAGCACTGGTGGGGGAGAGGGTGAGGGCCGCTGAGTACCAGGGCAAGTGCATTCCACACAGGGCCGAGGGTACACCCACGTAGGCAACCCCAAGTCATCAAGAAAAGTCCCAGCACATTAAATATACTCTGGCTGAAAAAAGAGTAAAATTTTGAAAAGATTTTTAATAGAATTGGATAAAATAAAAATCAATATGGATATTTTAAAGGTATATTTTGCATAGTTTACAGAGTTAAAGTAGACATTTGCTATTTTAGTGATTCCAAAATTACTAAGCAAGAACCATTGATGACCCACAACTCTGAGCTCCAGGGGTCTGCTACTCTGGCCCTACCACAAATCCAGGAGGAAGGGGCATTAGCATACACTGGACTGAATGTCTGCACCACACACCCAAAGCCAAGCCCTCCTGGATGTGGTGGCCCACGCCTGTGATCTCAGCATTCAGGAGGCTGAGACAGGAGGATCACTGAGAGTTCAAGGTCAACCTGGACCACACAGTGAATCCAAAACCAGCCTGAACTACAAAGTGAGACTGTCTCCACCAAAAAACAATCCAAGCCCTAAATACAGTGTATTAGCAGGTGGGGCCTTTGGGAACTGAACAGGTCAGAATAGGAGAGCCCTCGTGAATAGATTAAAAGCCTTAAAAAGGGGACGTCAGAGCACTCACTCTTTTCTCCGTGTAGCTGTGTACAACTCAAAAGAGAACCCAACCATGCTGGCACCTGATGCCAGACTTAGAGTCTCCAGAACTGTGATGGTAACTCTCTGCTGTTTATAGTTCACGTGTCTATGGTACTCTGTTACAGCGGCCCACATGGAGACACTCAGTCTCAGGACAGTTGGCATTTTCAGCCAAGGAAGGCTCAGGGTCAGCCACTAATGGAACCGGAGCCCAAAGCCAGGGCTGTACCTGATTCCTCACTGTTTCCATAGAAACACAGTCAGAGTTACACCCTAACCTCACCGGCTTGTGAGAATAAACCACAAGGAAAGACAAGTGGGGCCCAGACAGCTGCTATGCTACCCACCAGAATCATAAACACAGGCAAGGGCTGAGTCCCAGACCAAGGCCACGCCACCCAGGAAGCCCGTCACACACAGCTGAGCTACTGCTTCTGAGAAACTGCTTTGTGCCTCTAAGGAGACAAGTGACCTTTGAGAAAGAACCACCTAAATCACCTTTGCCCGATTAAGCCCCTGTCCTCCCTGACCTCTTGCGTCTGTGTCGTCTCCCCACTGTGTATCAGCAGCACTGAACAAGCTCCCCATCGCATAGAAGGCCCACAGCCTTGACAGCGGCACAGGAGGCAGCCGCACCCTGACACGTGCCACTCAGCTCCCCTCCACACTTGGCAGCCCTCACACACATGACGGCCTGGCTCCTGACGCCCATGCAGTTCTGCCTGGGACTCTCCTCCTCGTCACACCACCACACCTTCCTGCAGAGGCTCTCTGTAGTCCCAATTATCTCACACCTGCGTGCACTGCTGCCTCCTTCATGGTTTCCACCGCCTCAGAATGAGCGGTCATTATCATCCATTATCACTGCACACAGTCCTTCTTTCCACCGGGGTGGGTCAGACCTCCCATCAGCCACTTCGCTCAGTCCCCCTCTACGGCATACCTGCTCCGACCTGGTACTGTCCCAGAGGAAGCTGTACTTCTAGGCCACCTCGACACTGAGCTGCCTCTGCACAACACAAGAGCCCTTAATCACAGGATGTCAGAGCCTCAGTGGACACAGGTACCAGAGGTACCGTGCACATGGCCAGGACGACCTCTCAAGCCCAACCTGCTCATCCCTCCTCACTCCAAACACATCGGCCCCCTACACACCAGCAGCTGAGTAGCCTCTAACTGCTCAGTCCAGGAAGTGACACTCAGACACAACCCCAGCACTGCTTGGGTAGTTTAACAGAGGCCTCCAGCACCCTGCGGACACTCTGTCTCCTCACAGTGAGGAAGCCCATGTCAACCCACAGGTGCTGGTCAGTGAGTGTCCCTAGCAACAGCAGAAGCAACAAAGCACACTTGGTAGATCTGCATCCGCCTCTCCATGGGTAACGAGACATGCGGGTGGCAGCAACCTGGTGCTCTCACCCCAGAGGGCCCTGCCTCTTCCCCACCCCTGGCTTCTGCTGTCAGGGAATCTCTGCTGCTTCCGGTCCCGAACTCACTGCTTACTCTTAGCTTCCACCACTTCTGTACCTCGAAAGGAGTGGAGCGTCAGGCTTCTTCTTTTTTATTTTTTTAAGAGGCAGGGTCTTGCTATGAACTTACTAGGTAGCCCATCCTGGCCTCAAACTCTCAGCAATCCTCCTGCCTCACCCTCCTGGGTGCTGGGATTAAGGTATGCATCACCACGCCCAGCCAGGCTTCTTGCTTGATGTCAATAAGCCTGTGTGTCTGCCTTACCCTCTTGGGCATCCTTAATGAATGTACCGAGAAACGGACAAATCTTTTTTTCCACGCCTTGGCAGTGAACACTGGTCAGCCCCCTCCTGACAGGCACTGGCATGAAGTGACAGGAGGGCAGGGCTTTCCCCCACGCAGGCCCCATGTGAGCGACCCCTACTGTGTGCAGGATATGAACTTCCCCTGAGCAATCAAGACACCTGACTCAGACGACTATTCTCACCAGAAATAAACCCTCTAACGTCTGCATGGCCTCAAAGTTTCATGTTCTTTCATATAAATGAGCTCTTTATTCAGCTGAGATGCTGCTCTCAATAAACTGGAAAAAGTCTACAAAATGTTAGGAACCTTGGCAGAGGACCACAGAAGCCACTAATTGTATACTCATGGTCACTGACACCGTCCACACCCAACTTTCAAACCCACCCAGAGGCTCCGGGCCCTGGGGAGGGACCTCAGGGTGAAGGGCATGTGTCACCTCCGAGGACAGCTGGACAGCCCTTTAACTTCAGAATTCTCACCAACATTTATTTCACAACCTTTTCAAGGGCTAAGTAATTGGAAAAGTCATTTTGGTGTACTCTTCAATCGATACTGCTTAAAATACCCAAGTTCTGTAAATTTGCTCCTGTGAAAAATGTAGCAAGAAAATAAAAATAAAACAAGTAAGCTTTTCATCGTCAGACAGGAAGGTGTTTAAGGATCCAAATTCCAACAGAAAAACAGCCCCGCAGATGAGCAAATAGTTTCCCCTGCAAGTGACACATTCTGGAATATTTACACCACCAAACATAACTCAGGATGATGACGGCCACCAAGGAAGCAAAGCCCAATGGAAAACCCCCTGCTGGCAACTGGGAGCCCCAGCCGGGGGTGCCGGATCCTAGGAAAGTAATGACTGATAAGAGACACTACCTGTGAACAAAATATAGTCAAGATGGTTACATTACTGATTCCTCTGAGCTCTGACCTCACTGAAGAGGAAGGTTTGTGCTGGTACTGTTCAGACAACTGAATGCAGGTGTTCTGTGCTGAGCAACTGACTTGAAGATTAACAATGCACAATGTATGTGACACTGTTACCCCTAATTATCATATTTTATTTCTCTTTAAAATAAAATAAAACACTAGTGGTTGAGCTTAGTATCTCCTTTTTCATTAAAAAGACATGGGCCAGGGATTTAGCTCCGTGGCATAAGTGCCTGCACAACGTCATGAGTTTGATCCCCAGTACCGCAAAAAAAAAGACATATTACAGCCACCAAATACCACTCAGAAATGTTTTAAGCACACACAAAAAAAGAAAAGAAAGAAAAAAGAAAAAGAGGTGAAAATACTTTAGAAAGCATGTCCTCTATCAGTGCAAGTCACTGTTATTATTAGCTCAAGATGACCGGGAAAATAGGATTAGCAACACCTGGGTAAGAGGCAGCTTACAGCGGTGCTCTGCTCACCACTGGACCAGCACAGCACAGGAGAGGCAGCTCAGAGTGAGGGGATCCAGTTCTTAACCAGGGCTCCACCCCCCATGCTATCCACATGTGTGTTTTCTGGGGCCTGGGGAGGGGGGCTTCACTGCTGTTATCAGAATCTCAAAGCAGAGACCCTCTAAGCTCCTCATCTTACAAATATGAAAGCTGAGGCCCCAAGATCTGTGCTGATTGCCCTAAACTCCAGGATTAGTCCAACAGCGGCTGGACAGAGCTCAGGATATCTCTCATTCTGCTGTGCCATATTCTAGGGAGAGAAAAAAAATCACATAAATTTCATATAGCTACAGAGAGTTTTACACAAGCCATACCTGCATGATTTCTAAAGCTATAGCAAAGTTTCTAACCTTATTCATCCTAAGGCTCATTGTCAAGGCCTCTAATAAGTTGAAGAAACATTACATTTATTGCTATAGTCCCATCTCTAATTCAATTAATTCAATGCCTACATCAAGAAACACTACTTTTTTTGGCGGGGGGGGGGGGGCTGAAAAGGGAAAAAAATGAGCCCAGGATATAGCTAAATGGTAAACATTTGCCTAGAGTGTACAAAGGTCTGATCTAGAGTACTGCAAGAAGAAAACGAAGAAAAATAAAAAGACTATGCTAGGAAACAGAAAATAAAACTGTCTGGTACTCTTTTATTATGCAAAAAGCTAAGTATGCAATCATGTACACTAACACAGGTCAGTACGTAAATTAAGAAAGAAATAGCACTCAGGAGGCTGAGGCATGAGGATTGCTGTAAGTCCTAGACCAACTATGGCTACACAAGTTAAGTTCCAGGCCTGCCAGTACTACACAGAAAGACCCAGGGCAGGGGTGGAGGGAATCTTCTTTGTTGAAGTGTGATTTTAATTGAAATAACCAAAACTAGGGCTCTCGATGACTGTTGCCCCAAGAAGTTACTTTGGAACTATACCCTTCTTTTAAGATGACCTCCACAGGCAGGCAGAGGGTGTAACCATCTGAGCACACAAGGTCAGCCCCAGTTCCTAGACAACCATCAGGACCCCACTGAGATCTACCCATGGCCAGTTTCAGGCACAGGCAGACAACACTTCCAGGTATGCGAAGGATTACTTTGGAGACCACAAAGAAAGGGCTTTACCTGTGGAATGCAAACTGACTTCATAACTAAACCATGGCTCTGCTGCCTACAGGTATGCAGCTGCAGTTCCAAACAACTGGAAAAACACTGGCAGCACTACCGATCACGTGAGCACAGTCATTACCAGCCTAATCTATGGGGCTGCAGCCAGTAAGCTGAAACACAATCAGATGGCAGATAAGGCAGGCCAGAGTCAACTGGGAGGTTCAGAGGAAGATGGCCACTACACTCTCTCAAAACAGGTGCCAATATACGCAGCAACATTAACACAATGCTATTCCATAGTACCTTACAATGATTAACCGATGACCTCTGCAGAAAGAGAAGCTTGCATATCACGCCTTAGTCAGCACAAACCTTCAAGAAATACAAAGTTAAACTGGGCGTGATGGCACACACCTGTAATCTCAGCACTTGGGAGGCTGAGGCAGGAGGATCACTGCAAATTTGAGACCAGCCGGAGCTACACAGCAAGCCCAAGGCCAGCCTGAACTGCAGAGCAAACCTGTCTCAAAAGACACACACACACAAAGAAATGTAAGGTTAAAGACAAACACCTCTGTTCCCACCCCAGACATGCCAGAGCAGTCAGAGATCTGCATTCAATTATCTGAACAGTGCCAGCACAAATCTTTCTCTTCAGTGAACTCAGAGAGATCAATAATGTAACTACCGGGGGCTGGGGATTTAGCTCAGCGGCATAAGCGCCTGCCTTGCAAGCAGGCAGTCGTGAGTTCGATCCCTGGTACTGATAAAAAGGAAAAAGACAAAAAAAAAAAAAAAATAATGTAACTACCTTAACTACACACACACACACACACACACACACACAGATCTCTGACTGGACTGGGTGCCTGGGACTGGGGCAAAACAGCCCTTAGCTCACTGCAGCAGGCTATCCTGGAACCACAGATGTTTTTTTTTTTTTTATTTATTTACTTATGTACCAGGGATCAAACTCACGACCTCACCCTTGCCAGGGAGGCATTTATGCTATTTATGCTCCTGAGCTGTATCCCTGGCCCTATCCTTCCCTTTAGATTAGTTAAATATCACCACCTCTTTTTTTTTTTTTTTTTTTTTTTTTTTTGTCTTTTTCCTTTTTATTGGTACTGGGGATCGAACTCACAACTGCCTGCCTGCAAGGCAGGAGCTTATGCGCTGAGCTAAATCCCCAGCCCCAATATCACCACCTCTTAATATTAGACAGAAAAAGTAACCAAGTTTCAGCTCCAAAACAGCATGAGCTAAGAACACTATTTCTATTCAAGAGTGCTGGTATTAGTGAAATAAGACACACATGTGTAAACATCATATTGTCTCATCAGTATGAGAAGCTAAAGCAATGTGTGTGTGTGTGTGTGTGTGTATAGTTAAGGTAGTTCCACTACCAATCTCTCTGAGTTCACTGAAGAGAAAGATTTGTGCTGGCACTGTCCAGATAATTGAATGCAGATGTCCTGTGCTTTGAGTGAATGATTTGGGGATGACAATGAGCAATGTATGTACCATTGCTGACCCTTGATTGATGTGTTTTGAAATTTTAAGTTTCTTTTTTTTCTCTTTGAAATAAAATGGATTTGGAGAGAGACAGGGAGAGAGAGAGGAGAGGGAGAGGGGGAGAGAGAGAGAGAGAGAGAGAGAGAGAGAGAGAGAGAGAGAAAGCGGGAGCACGCTGTTATTCTCTGAAAACCTGAATAGAGAAAGCAGACCTACCTAATCATTCATCTACTCCCTGTGTTATATTACTTTCCCAAGTAACAAATATCATCAGCCTAATGGTCCTGTCTTTAAAGCTTCAAGGCTACTGCTAAAAGAAGGACACTGAAGTTTAACTCTAGAATTAAGTTTAAAAGCACACAGACCAAAGCTTCCAGGTGAATCAAGAGAAATCCAAGTTGCATAGAGCCCACTCAGTGCCCCTACGGGGAGGCGGCAAGCGGCTTATAAATTGAGCAGAGTATGGATGGGGACAGAACAGGGAAACCGCCAGTCAACACTGCCAAAGAGATCCCAGTTAGCAACTCTGCAGAGATTACAGCCAGGACTACACAGCACTACGCAGAGGGGAGCCACTGAGAGGAACCCAGACAGGGAAGCTTGCCTCTGCAACTCAGGTTAAAGTTCTCTGAGCCGGGTCTCAGGATCTTTCATTAGCGCAGACTGGGAGTGTTTGGTAAACAGCAGAATGAGTAGCCCTGGTGACTCTCAACAGCCTACTTCCCTCCACCACAAAACCCCAGGCCAACGGAGCAAAAGAGACAGGGCAAGACCCAGAACGGCGCGCGCCCCCGCCAACCCCCACGCCCGGCGCTGCACTGGCATCCCCGGGGCGCGTCCACCTCCCAGGCTTCCCCGACCGTCCGACTCCCCGGGGCCAGCTCCTCCTGGAAGCGAAACCGACGAGCGAGGGCGCGGAAACGCAATGAATCACTGAAATTCGGAGCTGTCTCACCTTTCGGGGTGACTGTGGCCCGCAATCCCCGAGAAGGAGGGAGCTCTCCTCCCAGATTTGGGGAAGTCCAAGGAGACGCGGGGATCAGAGGGCGACCGCGCTCGCTCGGTCCCAGCCCCAGGTGCTGCTCCCGAGGAAGGGCTGGCTCCCCACCCTTCGCGGACGCGGGACGGGAGGGCGGGAGAGAGGCAAGGAAGGAAATGGAGGACGCGCTTCAAAGCGCCCACGGGGGCGCATCCGCGTCTGTCCCGCCCGGTCCCGGGCCGCGCTTCCCGGCCACGCCTCTCGCGGCCCCGCGGGCGCCCCGAAGTCACCCGCCCTCCACTTCGGTCCCGGCCCCCCGCGCAGCCGCGTGGCTCCAGCCATGTCGCCCGCCCCCCGCTGAGTGCACCCCGCGCGGCCCGCCGCTCCCAGCGCCCCGGGTCCGACCCCGCGCCCCCTCCCACGGAGACAGGAAGTTCCGCGCCGCGCGGCCTGACAGACTTCGCCACGGGCGCGAGGGCGGCCTGACAGGACGCGGGCGCCGCCGCCGACCCGCTGCCCCGCGTCCCGCCCCGCCGCCTAGCCCGCGCGCCCCTCACCTCCACTGCCGCGCGCCCAGCTCCTGCAGTGACAGCGCCCTCCAACCTCGGCTCCGACTCCCGCCTCGCTCGCTCGGGCCGCGCTGCCCAAGCCCTGCCCAGACCCGCCGAGGCCGCTTCTGCCGCCAGCTGCCACCGCACCGCCCCCGCCTCGCCCGGTGGGCTCGTCCGATTGGCTGCTGGGCTCAGAGCCCCGCCCCAAAACCCTTTCGGTGCTCCGGATTGGACCAGGGGACACGCCTCCTAGCGCGCGCAAAGGGCCTCCCCTGGGCAAGCACTGGCCATTGCCCTTGTCAATCAAGGAGGAAGTGCCTATTTAATCGGCTGAGAGGCCCGCCCCGGGGGGGGGGGTTATCTTCATGCGGCTGCCCAGAGTCTGGTGTCCTTGGGGCTAGCTCTCCGGGACCAGAGTTTTGCGACTTTGCTAGCGCTGAAGGGTGAAGGAAGGGTGTGGGCTGAGCAGCACCATGCCCGACTAGGAAAAGTAGACTTTCAGGAAGTTTCTCCTCTTGGGGACTCAGAATATATTCCACTTGAGTTCATTTAATTTGAACAAGTGTGTGTGTGTGTGTGTGTGTAAGTGCGAGTATGCAAGGCACGTGGCAATCTACAAGCATCTTTCCTAACTCTCAGTTACTTTACTTAACAGGCTGTTAGCCACATTCTACAGGAAAAAAAAAAAAAAGTCAAATTGTGAGCACTGTTCCAAAAACTTTCCAGGCACAACGTCGTACACCCTTGGTGCAGAGAGTGATAAAAGTGTGCCCGTGTGAGGGTTTGGGAATCTTGACGCCAGGGATCTTGCTAGGAGGTGGTGGCATAGGATACAGGAGACCGAGGTCATCCCAACCCCAGATGGCTACCACTCAAGTGGGAATGATCATGAGGACTGCTTAAATTAAAATGTTAAAGGCAAACAACCATAAGAATTGGGGGGGGGGGGTAAGAATTGAGGAAGCATGTGTGAGGCCCAGATGGAGTCCCCAGCAAAACAACCAAAAAAATGGGCATTAAGAAACAAAGCTGGGGGGCTGGGGATTTAGCTCAGCGGCATAAGTACCTGCTTTGCAAGCAGGCGGTCGTGAGTTCGATCCCTGGTACCGATAAAAACAAAAAAGACCAAAAAAAAAAGAAAAGAAAAGAAAGGAAGCTGGGTGTGGTAATACACACCTGTAATCGCAGCACTCTGGGAAGCTGAGGCAGGAGGCTCTCACAATTTCAAGTGCAACTTGGGTAACTCAGGAAGGCCCCATCTCAAAATTAAAACTCAAAAAAAGGGATGGGGATGTAGCTCAGTGTGAAGGGCCTGGGTTTAATCTTCTTCTTCTTGGAATAGTGCAAAGAAGGAAGGAAGGAGAGGGGAAAAGAAGAACGGACATGTGATGACAAGCCACTGCCCACTTCTGGGACTCAGCCCAAGGGGCCTGTCTGGACCAAGTGTGTGGAACCCGGGTGTCCACTGGCTCGCTGCCTTGAGACCTGACGGAGCTTGTGCCACAGACTGGTGCCCGGGAAATCCAGAGTCTCTCCCAAGGTCTTACATTCCCATCTGGCCTTGTACACTTCCCTGCCACCCCCGAGGCCTCTATGCTCCTTAAACACTCAACACAAACCCTGCTTCACAGCGAGCCCTGGCAGAGAACTACAGCGCAACACCGATGCGGTAGGATGCCTCCGGAGCCCTCCTGGCTGCCTTGGCCTAGGGGTCACCGCCTGGTGAAGTCACTTGCTGCCTCTGTCACATGCTTTTGTCACCTTCACTCTTCTTATCTCCCTGCTCCTTCTAAGGCAAACAGCACTTTCTTTTCCTTGTGCCTAGCAGTTTGACACTGCTTCCTGCATCCTCTGGGTCTGGGGCCTTCTCATCCACGTCTTTTTTCCCAGAGCAGCCGTGATGTCCTGTACCAGCCTTCCTCTCCCGTCCTTTTGGAGCAGCCTGGAGTCCAGTGCTGTCTCCACCCCACTCTAGCCAGGGGCCCCCCAGGCATGTTTCTGCAGCTCTGTGCTCCTCTGCACCCCATCTCTGAGCAGGGCTGGTGATGGAGCAGCCCTCAGGGAGGAGAGGAGAGGCTTGGAGAGCTGTTCCATGCTTTGCCACGTGCCATGCTGCACCATCATCCCCATGCTGGGTGCCCACTGCAGGAGGGGACCAAGGCTGACCGGGTCATCCTTTATTAGTTATCTTGCATCACACAGCCTGGGTAGACAGACAGCCTGGCTGACACACGCTTCTGCAGGGAATGAAACCCCCCCCCCCAAGGAAACAAAGCACACAGATACAGCTGTATGGCAAATAACAGTCTTTCTTACATGGTGTTGTGTATCTTTTGCAAGAAAAAAGAAGTTAAAATTTGCTGCAGACCCCCACCCTGGGAATTAATGCTGATATTCAGAATGTGCAGGGCGGGGTTCAGGAAGCGGGGGACCAGGGCTCCACTCAGGGACCTGGGTAAACGCAGGGAAGACAGAGACTGCGGCAGAATGGGGGCACTGGGGCGAGGGACAGGAAGATTCAACTGGGCCAAGACAGAAAGACAGAGAGTAATGGAGAGAGAAGGTTCTGCTTGGCCAGAGCATCACAGGCCCGAGGAGAAGCCGGGAGACGTGGTGGGGAAGGCAGCCGAGCAGCACCACCCTGAACTCCGGTGAGTCACTTACTTCCTGAGCGACCATGGACCCCAGGTCTCTCAGCCACACAATGGGGCTGATCATGGACCTAGTGCTTAGGGAAAGCTGGACATCCCGAGTTCAGAGCTCCAGTGCCTCAGGACAGGGTCCAGCAGGGCCGCAGTCTCCGGCACCCCCCGGCACTTGCCTAGCACATACGAAGCCCTAGGTGCCAGCCCCAGGGCTAATGAATAGATAAAAGTGATGGAAAGGAGGGAAGAAAGAAGGAAAAAAAGGAAGGAAGAAGCCAAGCAAGAAAGGCCAGGAAGAAAACTGAGACCCAAGTCCATGACCCCTGCTCTGTTAGTGTCCTGGAGAAGCCAAAGCATTCACCGTGCGGCGTGGGAAGGTATTTCTGGAGACCCCCAGGCAAGGGCAGTCCCCTGCCAGGGGATGTAAAGATCTAGATTCCTTGTAAATGGGTCATTTAGGAGCCAGCGATGGCCCAGCTTTCTTGTGTGGTTTTGTTTTTTGGCCTGTGCCATCTGCTAGTACCAAAAGTACTGGCAGCTACAGCACACGAGCACACATACCATGCTCTGGAGGAGAAGCTGGCAGCACCTGATGGCCAGGTTCCACTATGGGACACTGCCAGGACACTCTGAACCAGGGTCATCCGGTTTGTCATGCCTGCAGTCTTAGCCCTCATGCTGTCCTGTCGGAGGGCATCAGCAGGATGGCTGCTCTCTTACTAGGAAGAAAAGCCCACTGGGACAGTTTGGGATACAGTGTTGCTGTTTGTGCCAAAGTGGACCAAGTGTCTGTTATGGCCTGTGTCTAGATAACCCCTCAAGGCCTCACGCAGTCACAGGTGGGGCTTTTTCAGAAATGGCTGGTTCTGGAGTGCATGACCAGCCTGGCTACAAAGTCAGTTCGAGGCCAGCCTGAACTACATTGTGAGACCCTGTCTCTAAAAACCAAAATAATAATAATAAATAAACTTGAGGCCTTAGTACTGAGCCGCATTCCTGGTCTGCTTTTTGGTTTTTTGTTTGTTTTGTGTGTGTGTGTGTGTGTGTGTGTGTCTGTCAGTGTGTATCTGAGTGTGTGTGAATGTGTATGAGTGTATGTGTGTTTTACGTTTTTAAGTTTTGAGTCAGGATTCACTAAGTCACTAAGTTGCCCAGGGCAGGTTTGAGCTTCTGATCCTCCTGCCTCAGCCTCCCAGAGTACAGCATTGTAGGTGTTCACCACCACACCAGCCAGAGGACCCTTTGGATTCTTAATAGAATTCACTTTGGCTTCCACAACCCCCTCATTCTCCTGAATAGCTCCTTGTAAATGCTCCCCCTGCACCTTGACTTTGGACCTGCAGCCTCCAGAACTGTCAGACACTACACTTTTGTTTGAAACCACCGGTTCATGGCATTGTGTCCTGGCAGCCCCAGGTAGCTAACAGCACCCAGTACCACAGTAGGTGACGCTCACGTGTGACCTTTCCCCTCTCCTATCAACTTCCAGGATATCCCAAATATTCTGCAATAAGCACGGGTACATTCTACAGTGGGGGACTAGTGAACCGAATTATTAAAAATACTGTGAGAACAAGAGAAAAGGAAGCCAGTGTGGTGGTGCACCCTTCTGATCCCAGCCCTTAGGAAGCTGAGGCAGGAAGATTGCTGTGAGTCCAAGACCCGCCTGAACTGCATAGTGAAACCCTGCTTTGGGTCACCATGCACCTCCCCACTGTCCCTTTGCTCCCTTCTCCATGAGATGGACCTTTCTGTGCAGGGCCCAAGGTCTGTCTGCGCCCAAGGCTGGGCTCGCAGGGAGCTGGTTCCGGGGCTCTGCCTGGCCTCCGTCAGGGCCTTCTGTGAATGGGGTCCTCTGCAGTGAGTGTTTAGGACTTTCCTGTTGAAGTCAGTGAAATTTTATTACTATAAAGTGATGCTCAAACTGCAGCATTTTCATATTTCATTTATTTATTTTGTGTTTTTTTATTTTAAAAATGGCAAAACTAAACATAACAAAACAGAATGAAGCAGATCAGAAGCAAAACAATGTAAGTGATACAGATTTCAAAGTAAGACAACAGAAAATCTACAAAGGCTACCATAATGTCTCTTGTTTCTTCTAAATACTTGTCCATATCTTCACACACAACAAATTCATACAAAACAAAGTAATATAAAACTGATCAGACAGAATGATGAAGGCATTACAGGCCTTCAAAACCAGACAATAGGAAAATTAACAATGGCCGCCATAGTGTCTTGTTCTCTTCAAAACAGCTGTTCACGCCTTCATTTATATTGAAATTAAATAATATAAAATAGACTAGAACCACTCTGAACAAAGAATAGAAGCTTTACTGGATTTCACAGCGCGATGATACGGAACCAGCAGTGGATACCATAATGTCTGTTTTTCTTCAAAGTAGCTGTTCATTTCATTACACATAGTATAAGCGATTCTCATAAACTGCTTAGGAAAAGTTCTAGACATGTATAAGCCTCTACATGTACACTTATCCTTTCTTTATTAGAAGGAAAAATAAAACAAAACAGATTGTTAGAAAAATAGTATTTTGTCTTTTTTTTTTTTTTTTTTTTTTTTTGTGTCTTTTTGAGACAAGGTCCTGCTGTGCAGTTCAGGCTGGCCTTGAGCTCACTTTGTAGCCCAGGCTGGTCTCAAACTCGCAATAATCCTCCTGCCTCAGCCTCCTGAGTGCTGGGATTACAGGCATGTGCCACCACCGTTTTCATATTTTAAACTGTGTGTTTCTGCACACGAAGTTATGTTGTGGTCAGCAGAGCTTACCAGGACTGCGCAGTGCGGCCCTCAGAGGCACTGTGGGGCAGGCTGTGCTCCTCACGAGGACTCTCTGGCCTGGTGATTTGCTGGCACTAGCCTCTCTGGGCACTGCTCAGCTGGGACAGGGCACGATTTTAAATGACCAGTTACAATCTCTGCAGCAGCAAGCCCATCATCAGCAGAGTGATCCTCCTGCCTCAGCCTCCCAAATGCTGGGATCACAAGGGTACACCTCCATGGTGGCTCACATCCCTTATAAGCTAGAAAGCTGGGGGAGTCACTCAGCCCCCAGCCTCAGTGTTCTCCTATGGACAGGGATAAGGGCCAACCTCCACTTCCCAGGACCATCACATGTGGAAAGGATTTGGGGCAATGGTGCCAGGCACCTCCAGGTGAGTACAAGGGACAGAGCGAGCTGCCAAGATGCCTTCCAGGTCCCAGCTCACCATCCTCACCCACCGGGAGCTTGGCCAAGGGGATCTGGCCTTTCCTAGGAGTAGATTAACTTGGCAGGAGCCTCCAGCTCCTGGTTATCACCCAGGGAGGAATGTGCCAGATCCCTGATCTCCCCTCCCCACCTGGGCTCTGTTCCTGTCCCTGCTCCCTTTGCAGGAACCACCATTCCACCCGGCTGCTCTGGGCTGCCTGGCCCAGGGGCGGGGGAGGGAGGCTCCCCATCGGCTCATGCAGCCCACGTGACTGCCCAGGCACCCCCGTCCCCCTCCCTCTGGCCCCACGTGATAGCTGCCCAGCAGCGCATGGACAATGCTGAGTGTGGCAAAAAGACACACAGGCTCAGCATGACCATTCACACCCGAGGAGCAGAGGGGACAGGGTGGCAGGAGCCCATGGTGCCAGGCATTCACAACATCAAAGAACAGCAAGACCAGAAGACCCCAGAGCTGACTAGGTACATCCTCCTCTCCTTTCAAGGGGGAGAGGCCCAGGGAAGTCAGAGGAGCCACCAAAGGTCCCCGGCAGTAGAGTCAGGGACCCCTCTCAAAGGCAGTCCCCTGGTTTCCCTGGTGTCCCTCCCCACACCAGCTGGGCCTCTCTCCCTGGGAGATGGGCCCCCGCCTAGGCCCGCGTGAAAATCCACAGCCCCTCTCCAGGGTCCTGCAGGGTAAGGACCCAAGGAGAGGGGTGGCCAAGGCTTGAGAAGGCCCACAGTGGTGTGGGGGCCTGGAAGGAGGAGTTAGAGGAGACCCACAGGGATAAGCCGGGCGTGGAAGGCGTCCGAGGGGCACAGGGAGGACAAAGAGCTGGGCGCAGGCTCACACCCCTGCTGCAGCCTGGGACCACGGCCAGGGCTGGAAGGGCCTGAGCTCAGCATCCGGCCAAGGGCACACACACAGTGGCTGTCATTAGGCCCCTGGGAGCTGGCAGCTCCTGGGTCCTGGCAGCTCCTGGGTGGCCAGGTCCACTCCGGCTGTCCCTCCGGACTGGCTCTTCCTGTCCTGACAACCGGTTCCAGCTGCGCTCAGGTTTCACATTGCAGTGTGTGCACTCATTCAGGCCCTGGGAGGATCGTGTGGGCCCCGGAAAGCA